GCGTCCGGGCGATTTTTGCGTCCTCTCTGGACTGGTATTTGAAGACTGAATGGGAACGTTCCAGACATTTTTGGTGTAAATTTGGGAACATATTAAAAAAAAACAAAAAAAACACCCCTCAGTATAGATATGTACCCATTAAAAAATAAACAAAAATAAACATATTAAATTCTGTTAGTAAAACCGACTGAAATTGTTCTTTAATCTTCCCACAATCCCCTGCACACCGGATCGCGTAGGTTGGACCCCGTCACACAGGCAGGCTGGACACTAGGGTTGCCACCTGTCCAGGATTCACCCGGACAGTCCGGGTTTTGAATGCTCTGTTCGGGTTTCATGGCAGCAGAAACCCGGACACAAGATGTCAGGCAGGCAGGGGCAATCAAAATCAAGATAGGGGCTACTGGCCCCCCCACTAAAAATGGTCTCAACTGTGATATTTACATATGAATGGGCGGCGCTATTTACATATGTATAAGCCATGGCTCATCCTCCCAAAAAAATGTCTGCGCTTCGCTAGAGTGTTCGGGTTTCGCTTGAAGAAAAGGTGGCAGCCCTAGCTGCATCTCCGTTCACACTGGTGCCAACTTGACATGTTTTCAGGCACTGGGGGCTGAGGCGTATGGGCAGCTCACTGAAAGGGGCTGAAAAATGATTCCAGTAAGCGGCAGGCAGCAGAGGGAGATGCAGTAGTGGTCTATCACAACGGGGATGCAGGTGATGCACAATGATTATGTAGTACCCTTGAGCAGAAAGCAGGGCTTGTCTATATAATGAGGGAGCAGGGCTGGCCTATGTAATGAGGGAGCAGGGCCGGCCTATGTAATGAGAAAGCAGGGCCTGTCTATATAATGAGGAAGCAGGGCCTGCCTATGTGATGAGGGAGCAGGGCCTGTCTATGTGATGAGGGAGCAGGGCCGGCCTATGTAATGAGGAAGCAGGGCCGGCCTATGTAATGAGGAAGCAGGGCCGGCCTATGTAATGAGGAAGCAGGGCCGGCCTATGTAATGAGGAAGCAGGGCCGGCCTATGTAATGAGGAAGCAGGGCCGGCCTATGTAATGAGGAAGCAGGGCCGGCCTATGTAATGAGGAAGCAGGGCCGGCCTATGTAATGAGGAAGCAGGGCCGGCCTATGTAATGAGGAAGCAGGGCCGGCCTATGTAATGAGGAAGCAGGGCCGGCCTATGTAATGAGGAAGCAGGGCCGGCCTATGTAATGAGGAAGCAGGGCCGGCCTATGTAATGAGGAAGCAGGGCCGGCCTATGTAATGAGGAAGCAGGGCCGGCCTATGTAATGAGGAAGCAGGGCCGGCCTATGTAATGAGGAAGCAGGGCCGGCCTATGTAATGAGGAAGCAGGGCCGGCCTATGTAATGAGGAAGCAGGGCCGGCCTATGTAATGAGGAAGCAGGGCCGGCCTATGTAATGAGGAAGCAGGGCCGGCCTATGTAATGAGGAAGCAGGGCCGGCCTATGTAATGAGGAAGCAGGGCCGGCCTATGTAATGAGGAAGCAGGGCCGGCCTATGTAATGAGGAAGCAGGGCCGGCCTATGTAATGAGGAAGCAGGGCCGGCCTATGTAATGAGGAAGCAGGGCCGGCCTATGTAATGAGGAAGCAGGGCCGGCCTATGTAATGAGGAAGCAGGGCCGGCCTATGTAATGAGGAAGCAGGGCCGGCCTATGTAATGAGGAAGCAGGGCCGGCCTATGTAATGAGGAAGCAGGGCCGGCCTATGTAATGAGGAAGCAGGGCCGGCCTATGTAATGAGGAAGCAGGGCCGGCCTATGTAATGAGGAAGCAGGGCCGGCCTATGTAATGAGGAAGCAGGGCCGGCCTATGTAATGAGGAAGCAGGGCCGGCCTATGTAATGAGGAAGCAGGGCCGGCCTATGTAATGAGGAAGCAGGGCCGGCCTATGTAATGAGGAAGCAGGGCCGGCCTATGTAATGAGGAAGCAGGGCCGGCCTATGTAATGAGGAAGCAGGGCCGGCCTATGTAATGAGGAAGCAGGGCCGGCCTATGTAATGAGGAAGCAGGGCCGGCCTATGTAATGAGGAAGCAGGGCCGGCCTATGTAATGAGGAAGCAGGGCCGGCCTATGTAATGAGGAAGCAGGGCCGGCCTATGTAATGAGGAAGCAGGGCCGGCCTATGTAATGAGGAAGCAGGGCCGGCCTATGTAATGAGGAAGCAGGGCCGGCCTATGTAATGAGGAAGCAGGGCCGGCCTATGTAATGAGGAAGCAGGGCCGGCCTATGTAATGAGGAAGCAGGGCCGGCCTATGTAATGAGGAAGCAGGGCCGGCCTATGTAATGAGGAAGCAGGGCCGGCCTATGTAATGAGGAAGCAGGGCCGGCCTATGTAATGAGGAAGCAGGGCCGGCCTATGTAATGAGGAAGCAGGGCCGGCCTATGTAATGAGGAAGCAGGGCCGGCCTATGTAATGAGGAAGCAGGGCCGGCCTATGTAATGAGGAAGCAGGGCCGGCCTATGTAATGAGGAAGCAGGGCCGGCCTATGTAATGAGGAAGCAGGGCCGGCCTATGTAATGAGGAAGCAGGGCCGGCCTATGTAATGAGGAAGCAGGGCCGGCCTATGTAATGAGGAAGCAGGGCCGGCCTATGTAATGAGGAAGCAGGGCCGGCCTATGTAATGAGGAAGCAGGGCCGGCCTATGTAATGAGGAAGCAGGGCCGGCCTATGTAATGA